AAGTCCATCGGCTGGCGATGCCCTTGTTTATACATACATATTTATATATCCATTTATACTTTCCATTTCGTGATATCAGTACGTCGTTATCCTCTCGAATTTCTTCCTCTCCGTCATCATCTGAAATAAGGTTACTAAGTACCGCAAATTTATTTCTACGGGTAGCAGAACGATTAAAATGGTGCACTTCACAAAAATAAAAAGAAACGTTGATACTGATGTAACTGTTATCTTCATTTGATCGGTAATTTATTTTTATAATTTAGCGTAACAAGTAAATATAAAAGAAAATTTAACCTAACCTAACCTAACTTTATTTATACTGATAAAATTCTTCAGACAATTAAGTTAAATTAGTAAAGTTAGGTTAAATTTTTATTTATTTGATATATGGGGTGTGTGAGAAAGATTGGGAAATCTCGAAACTGAAGATACTGGTGGCCAAAATAAGTCGATTGAGCCAAATATGCGTTATACAATTGTTGTTGGTTTCAAAGATACAGGGCGTTCAATGTTTGAATTTTATTTTGAAATTTCTCAATAATTCTGAAAACTGTCAGAATGTGAACAAAAAAATTGGCACTATTACGTTTTTTGACATGATAAATAAGAATTTTTAACTAATTTTGGCTTTGCTTGTTTAGGGCGTCAGTTATGCCTTACTCCTTTGATAAATAGGGGAATTTTTTTTGGCTAGGATTACTGGCATTGTGTACATAAAAATGTTACATTTGTTCGTTTTCGATATCTTCCTTGGTTATCGAGATATTTGCATATACAAATTTCAATGCATTTCGTTTTGCGACTAGACAACCGTTAAAAGAGAAAATAACAAACAAAATAGAAAAAATTGGTTTAAGAAATATGTACTTAGGACTAAAAATTAATAATTATAGTCTTTCCCAAGTCAGTTGAACATGCATAAAAACGCCTAGCAATAAAATTTAATGAGTTTGATAGGCGTCTCTAAAAAAGTTTTCTGCTAAAGTTAAAAAATTATAATAATTTGTATACAATGCGTAGAAAATTTCTATTATATGTTCATTTGGCCAAAAACATATTTTAATTATTTATGTCCTCAAACAATTTTATTATATTGATGGTAAATTTCGTTTTGTTCTGTTTCAAAAGGTCTCCAAAATTCCATGTTGTAATAATATTAATAAACAAAATATCCCTCTTCCCTTTCTTTCTCCCTTTCGCAATTGTAATATGAATGATTAATAGAAGGTGCATATAATAAATTAAAATTACCTGATTCCCACCAAATTCCGAATTGCTGCACTGCACTGCTAGGCAATTTGTCAACAACTGAGATTTATTGGAGCTCCATCGTGCATAAACCACATATTAATGCGTGTTTATAAGGGAAGATCCTCTAATATATTGGGTAGTTGTTCTTGAAGAAACTATAAATATCTCTGGCCATTTAGTCTAGATGGTAATTCAACCGGTCCTGTTAAATGATGTGCAATTATGCCTGCCCATAAATTGATTTGATTAAAAGTTACTTAAAAACGAAATGCATTGAATTTGTATATGCAAATATCTCGATAACCTAGGGTGATATCGAAAACGAACAAGAGAGACTTTTTTCTTTCATATTTTCAATACACAATGTCCGTAATTCTAAAGGCAATAAAAAATTTCCTCTATTTATGAAAGGAATAGGGCATAACTGACACCCTATACAAGCAACGTTAAAATTCTTATTTGTCATGTCAAAAAACACTATAGTGTCAATTTTTTATTCATACTATGACAGCTTTCAAAATTATTGAGAAATTTCAAACTAAAATTCAAATATTGAACGCCCTGTATCTTTGAAACCAGCAACATATGGATAAGGCATATTTGGCTCAGTCGACTTATTTTGGCCAGCAGTATCTCCAGCTTCGAGATTTCCCAACCTTTCGCAGACACCCTGTATAAAAAAACTTAGTCTAACTTTATGTAGAAATCTAATATACTCGTACCTTGAGATAACTTACGTAGGTTCTAAGAATTGGGCTTAGAATTCATACAAACGGAACGTGTGGTTAATATTTGCTTTACCATTCCAAATTAGTTACATTTGCTTATATTTATATTAATTTTTTTTCATATCACGCGTCTTGCGTGATTGGGTAACTAGGCAGAGTAAACTTGCAGTACTTTGTAACCTTATGTATGAGACAAACGACTGAGAGAGGGACAGAAATTTTACATGAGGCGGTCGGATTAAATAAGAAATAATATACGAATAAATGCCTGTTTTGATTATTTTGCTTTAAAAAAGAAAAATGATGTTTTTTCAAAAATTAGGTTTGACCACGGAAATAACAGAGTTTTACACTATAGTAAATAATTACCTTGTCTTTTATTTTCTTTAAATAGTAAATATTTACATATTTTTTTATAAAAAAATCTGTTGCCTTCAGGGTCATATACATTTATTTTTTTTATCATGCGCTTACAGAAGTCAGTAACTACACTTAATTAATAATGCAGCAATTCACGCTGTTTTTGTTTAGAAAATGTGTAAAATCCTACACTAAATTTTCAAAAGTTAATACAAGTATGTCATTATTTTTAACAAAACGGCATTGAAATTTTGGTCACGAAACGCGGACATAAGTAGAGAAATCATGGTATGTGTTTCTAATAGACGAGCTTGAAATTCAATATACAGGGTGTTAGAAGTTTGACTGCCTTAATTTTAACAGACGATAGAATACATTAAAATAAACAAAAAAAAACCTTATATGATAGGGGTCCTAAACTCAACCATTTCCGAGAAAAAAATTATCAAAATCTCCGACTTGATGTACAAATGTTCGATTAATTAAGGAATATTGACATAACTGCGTGCATAGAACACCATAAAATACAATGTTCAACTTCTTTATGCTTAATTCTAAAAAATAATTAGCGTTGTAATAAATTTAAAATTCGATAAAATTCTTATCGAGCAATGTGACAACGGCGCGGCGGATAACACAAGGTAGTAAGCTGTCCAGCAATACGCAGTTCAGTTGGTATCTGGAACTGAACCGTATCTGAGTGTTTTTGCGTACCATTATTTCCTTTTCTTCAGATAGTGCGCGAAAATTGGATTCGATGGTGTCGTGCGTACTTCGAAAATGGTGGTGGACATTTTGAGCATATGTTGTAGTTTGTTTTGTACTTGTGCGTTTAAAAATTACTGAATTTTGCTTTTTTATAAGTACCTAAATTATTTTTAATACGTATGATTTTTTGGATGACATGAACCATTGCGTACTTGAATTACATATTTTTCAAATTCATAATTTGATTAAAAGTTAAATTCCTGTTTTAAAACATTCATAATTACTAAAATTCAAGCTAAAATTTAAGCACAACACTATCTTCGTACTACAAAATCGATACATTTTATTTTATTTAATAAAAAACTGGAAACAATTGTCTTGAAATTTACTAAATGTTTCACAATAATAGTTGTTTACATTTTTTCCATAGGACAAGTCTGTCGCGTGTATACGTGGTACTCCAGCTGTGTAGCGTTAGGTTAAGCGCTGTTGTCACGTTGTGATGAAACTCCCCAATATTAATACTCGCTGTATTTTGAAAACTGTAAATCTTACGCCCCTCTAATATACAACTTTTTTATTCATTTATGATTACTCTATCTCATGCTGAAATAACGGCAGTCAAACTTCGTACACCCTGTAGATTGAACCAGTTTCCACCTCTTTATTTTATTAATAATTATTAGAGATCGCAAATGTAAAGCCCAGTCTAGACGCTAGGTTTTGCGCAACGTTTTACCTGCGCAGTCATAAAACGGAATGAAAACGTTGCAAATCAAGAACGTCCACATGGTGCTGATGTCTGTATTTATTTACTCAGATTTCGCGGAATCGACCATGGAAGCGTTCAAACTTCAAAGTGGTCAAGACACTGACTTCTAAAAAGACAGTATTTTTTTCACTTTATATTACTGCGTGATTTGCGCGAGGAACCTGAAAATTGGCGAAACTACTACAGAATGGACCTAAACACATACAATCATTTATTGGAATTAGTAAAACCGCATATTATAAAAGAAAATACTTGTATGAGAATAATGTACTTGTCTGACTCTGATTTGAAGCTTCGCATCGATCAATTGATTCGATACGTATCTAGTGGCACCGTAATACCTGCCCTGTCGGACTAGCGTGCCGGTGAATAATCCAAGTTTTTTGCTGCATTTTATTGACGTTTGTGCTGATGACCCTTTGCTTGATAGAGCGCATGGCACGTGTTTTTGTGGCAATCAGTAGCGTTGTGTATCGTCGCTACCAAGTTTCCGATCTCTAGTAACTATCTTCATAACTTTTAAATCTAAATTGGTTTAGACGGTTTAAGATTAAGGATTAAAATAAATTAAGGATCTGAGACAGGAATATTCGTATTAATGTTGTTGTTACTGATAGGAAAAATGTTAAATGCATTTCCATAGGTACTTGAAAGTTACATATTTTGTTTCCTGTGCTTTCTCGGATATGTTAGGTTGATCACGGTTCACCTTACCCAACTCGACGCGCCGCCGCTGTAAATCTACCGGTTCCGCCACAGACCGCTGTGCGTTTTTTTTTAACTAAAATTAGATTTAATGCTTCGACTTGCTTAATCACCACAAATTACTCGCTGCTATTTAAAATGACTAACAATTTTATAATACAGGCGTAGATTTCGCGTTGGCTCGCATGCATATCAAAGAAAGTGAAACTCGGACCCCGTGTTTATAAATTTTTATAACGTCTAACTTGTTCGTTGTTAGTACGACCTCACAACTGGAGGCGTTACCGTCGTAGTCGTCCTTTACAGGTGATATTTCCGCGTGATTTTAATTGATGTTTCGCAACGTTCGTTTAGTTTACAAATATTCGGTTAGATTTCAAAAATGTATACTGTTTTTTTCTATTTTATCCTTATACAGTAAATAAAAACCAAGGTCCTCACACATTTTTTACTCTTGACTGAATTTAAACAACAAATTGATTCGCTTCGAGAAGTGTTTTTTCTTCTGATTAGAAATCAAGTATAGAAGTTGCCTATATGTCACGTTAAAAGAGAACAGAAAATAGAACCGGTTTTATTCCAATACATCTTTTTAAAACAATGGAAAGATATTATAAGATTTTACATAGCATTGGGTTAGTTCAATTGATATGAAATAGATGGCGCACCAGTAGAAATTTGTTTGTGATTTACCGGTTAAGCTATTTTTCGCGAACAACCATTATTATGCTTAGTTTGACATATTGGTTTTGAGTCGATGGACATAAGAATTTTGTATTACAAAATACACCATTACTTCTTGGAATAATTATTATAATAAAGATTGGCCCAGCAACTCAAAAACTTAAGGAAATTAAAACGAATTTCCTCAAATTGTATAATCTTTTAATTTATAAAATACAATTTTTCTCTGAGCAACCATTAGTTCGATCTTGTGATCATAAGAACTTCCGAATATTTTGGCATCTATACGAATATTATGGAGTTTCATTTTTTTATGTCATGGATATCCATTGAAAATTTTTAGATCTCCAGAAACTCAATGTTCTCTACGTCGGTTCTCTTCCAGTTCAAGAATGGCCGGAATTCATGCGCCCCATCCAAACGCCGCCCTCCAAATCCCCCATAACCACTCAGCCCCAGCAACCGGAGAAAGTCGAGTCCCCGAAGACGACCTCCAGGTTGCTGCCTCTCGGAGCGGCCGCTTGCATTACCTACAACAGAGTCTCGTGGATGCTCAGGGTGAGGAAAGAGGTCTTCTCGCCGTCGGAACCTCTGGGCCCGCCCACCGCCCTCCACTTGGTGTTCTGTCAGATAGTGGGAGACGTCTACGGTCTTACCCCCTGCCTCAGGCTGACCCAGAACGAAAAGAGGGCAGGAGTGAACATGCTGTCGGGGTACGGGGTGACGGCGGAAAACTTTAACAACTCCCACAGGGCCAATATAAAGAGGAACGTCGTCGAGTTGGCCAGGACTTGGCCGTTGTACTTCGCAAGGTTGTTTCCAGTGTCCGGAGCGGCGCAAGTAAGTAGAGTTCATTTCTTTTTTTTTTGTTCACCCTTTCTTCAATAGATCATCAAAATGTCCATTAAAAGCCAACTTAGTTGTAGTTGCTGATAAAAATGAAAAATGTATCAATTAAAATCATCTATTATTTTCTTTTTACCATCTTTCCGAAATGCAGCTTGTGTCTGCGTTCACATTTCTTTCAGTGTTCGTCAAAAATATTAAGTTTTCTTCGACATTCTTCCCTGAGTCGACATTTCCTTTGGATGTTTAAGAAATTTGTGCTGGGTATTTGCTTCTGGATTTATAAATCTACCAATCCTTTTCTTACCATTTAGAAAAAATCTATCGAAAATTTTTGAATTTCTTCAATCCATCATCAAAATATCCATTAAAAGCTAACACAGTTGTTGTTCCTTACAAAAATGCCAAATGTATCAGTTCAATGCATCTAAACATCTTTGGTAGAGCTACTTCTACTACTTCTACTACTTCTAGTGATTGGTCCTAATAAGGCCCATAGCACTGCGGCCTGATTAGGCCTATTGTGCGTCCCACTACTAGTCCTATTCAGCAAGTAGATTTGTCCTTTTTACAAAGTTCAAAAGCTTCCTTGCTGACACTTCTCTCAGTTCCTTGGGTTCCAAGTAGGGATATGCAGAGAAGTTTCATCCGCCGATTCACATCCTCGGCAGACCGGACTGTCTACAAGCTTTAGTTTATGTAGATGTTTTTTAAAGTGACAGTGTCCCGTTATGAGTCCTGTCACTCTCCTGAGCCGGATTCTGTTCAAGCTCAATAAATCATTTGCTCTTTCCTTCGAAGGATACTCCATAAGCTCCTTAGAATGTCTATGTCCTGGCCTTGAAGTCCAGTATTTCCTGTGTTCTGTCTCAGTCCATTTGCCCAGAGCCCGCCTGACCACACTGGGAGATGTGCCACAGAAGGGCTCTGGGCCAATGAACTCAGTTTCGGGTCCTTTCCTAGCAAGTTAATCTGCTTTATCATTTCCACAAATGCCTTTATGCCCTGGCACCCAACACAGTCTGACTTTATTGTTGGTGGCCAGTTCAGTCAGCATTTGTAAACAATCCCACACTTGTTTTTCTTCTCACTCTACTTGGTAGAGCTACTTTTTTAATCTACCAATCTTGTTTGAGTTTCACCAATGTTTCATCAAGATTTCCAAACAATGATGGTACAATTCAACACCAATCAGCTGGTCCTTTCACTCTATCAGTTAAAAGCATCTCAACATCTGTTGTAACTCTCAAAAGTGCAACCACGTTTCCTTCAGTGATCTTCAAAGAAAGTTTCCTTCGAAATTTATCTTCTATATCGCCCCTATTTTTATTTTTTTACGGGCATATGGTTAGCTTTTCTTTCTACATTCATACATTTCCGAAACGTTTTCAATGTTTCTTCATTTATCAGTCTCCTTTGGGTTTCTCCAATGCATCTTCAAAATCATTAACACCAACAAGATGTCTCGTATAAAAATATCAAACGCCAAAATTTAAACCTTTGCTGTATCTCACGATCCTCTCTTTTTTTTCAGCTCTCCGAAGTGCAGCTTGTGGCGGTGTCCCATTGGGGCGTACACCTTGTCAGACGCGAGCAAAACCACCTCCAGGTCATCAGATCCTTCTCCCTGGGCGAGATAGGATCCTGCGCCGCCCCCAGACCCACCAGCGTCAGCCTGGACAGTCCCCAGGGTCGACTTAGCCTGCACACCCCCAGGGCGCAGCAGCTGTCGGAGATGGTGACCAAGTTCTGCGCGGAACAGAGAAAGGTAGGTGGAAGTAGAGTTGGCGTAGCTATAAAGATCACGATTTAGTCTTGAATAAGACTTATTCAGGGGATTCACAACGCATTCAAAAAATATTTGGGAAGAGATGCGTCGTGGAAAATGGAGTCAATATCGTAAAAAAAAAATCTGTAAAATCCTTATAGTTCTCGAGAAAAAAAATTGTTGAAGTTGTAGTATTTTCAATCCTTACATCGTTGGGCTAGTGTAGTCTCTAGCGTCATTCGCTTTGTGCGCTGTGCGCAATGCTCTCTCTCTACGTGGCGTGGCCCTAGGCGATTCTAAAATCCGATTTTAATATTAACAATTTTGCGATAGTGTTTACATTAATTTTTCAAGTGTCTAAAATGAGTTACGTGTATAGCAACTCGGATATTGTTTTAATTTATGATGAAGCAAGACAACATTTGTGTTATGTTATAACATATTTGAAGAAAATTGGAAGAAACTAACCTGAGGCATTGGAATGGTTGAATAAAACGTTGAGAGTAATTACAACAGTACAGTAAAAGTGAATTAAGTTGGTGTGAAGGAAGTTTGAATGGAAATAAAGTTAACAAACATAAAAATTACGCCATATAATAAAAATACCCAGTAGTGCAGCTGTAAGATCGGATTTGTTCTATACATTTAACTTTTAATCTGTCTTTTAACTGATGGGATCCCAACTCAACAAAATTGTTTCACAAAGATGACATTTTGTTACTATTGAAGGGGATAGTTTGAACTAGATATTTAAAAAATATATGTTTCGGCCCGTATAAATGCCTAAAGGACATTAAAAGAAAACGAAGTGATAAACTCTAGTTATAAGTGACCTTCAAAAATGAAGTTGAAAGAAAAAAGTTAAAAAAATTGATATAACGGCCCAGTAAAGGAAATGAAGTTGTCATAAGTGAATTTCAAAAGTAGATACTTGTCAGTAATGCTTAAAAAATTTCTGTGAACCACAATACAGTGACATCTTGGCAGTGAAAAATTGTCTTGATTCTAGAAAACCAGACATATCTTTCACTGCAACTGTGTTTCAGCTAGAGTCTGACATTTGCTAGTAATTTAAAGACGTCATTAAGAAATTTAACTCAAATAATAAAAATATCCAGTACGACAGCACCGATAGTATCTCCAAAGTCGTTTTACAAAGACGACATTTTATTATTAGTTCGAGCAAGTAATTCTAAAATTTATTTAGATGTAGCGGCCCGTATGAATGCCTAAAAGACAATGACAATAAACCCGTGTTTTGGCAGGTTCCGTTACCGCACTATTTTATTTATTCAAGTGACAAGCTGTAATTATTTTTGGCCTTTTGAGAAAAATTGAGGAAATTAAAGTGCAGAAGTGATTGAGGAAACATTAAAAAATTATAATAATGGCGCAATTAATGAAAATGACGTAGACATAACAGAATTTCGAATGAAAATAAACTAAAATATCGTCAGAGGAGTACAATTTCATAATTTTCAAGATTTTTAATACTAATCAGCAGTACTTAAGAAATTTTCTATGAACTAGTCACGGACCCACCTACAGCTGATTTATTATTAACTTTATAAGTATTAAAATTTAGGTCTAAGAAACTGACATGGATTTTAGTTCTCATATGCGTCGTTTTCCGGTCCTAGAATTCAAATTTCCCGCTACCAATGACGTCACTGTAAAGCCAAACCTGCGCGTCCTTGATTTTTTTTTTTGTATTTAACGCGTCGTCGTGGCTGCAAATAAATCAGCATCGTTAGAAACCTACCGCACTAATTTTCTAATGGCTGTTTTCCGATGCGAACCGTTACAAAATGTTAATAATTAACGGACATAAAAAAACCACCGTTCCGGCAATTTTGCATTTCCCGACGCGGGCAAAATGCAAATAAAGAGCGCTCGAACGCGATCAATTAATGCTCTGACAATTAGAGTATAAAATGAGAAATAGCCTTTATTATGGTTGTTAGCATCTTGACATACATAGAGCGTATTATCTGCTTAAAAATTATAAAAAAAAATGTATGCGAGCTCATCAATTACACAGTTATTTCTTTACAGTCCGCGGATCTGGTTGTTAAGTGACTCGTTTTATTTAATGGAATCACGAAAGTGTGCGCTGAACCCATTTGCCGTTTGCTATTAAATTTTAAGTACGTCGTATATCGTAAATTGTTTTTTTTTAATGAGTTAATGGAGTGATTTGGCCAGTTTGTCGTGGAAACAATATAATTTACTCCATAGATGCAAATTGAAAAGAAAAAGAGGTGCCGTTAAAGCAATTTTCAATATTACTTTGTATTTTATATGGGTATATTCGACTGAAAAGGAAAGAAATCAAAAAGAGTTCCTCAGGGTTCAGCACTGGGCCTCTATTGGTTCGTCTTGTATACGTTCAATGAAAATTTCAAATGTTCGTCGATTTTCTACGAAAATTTGTATATATTGTACCTTCTTCTGTACCTAGTCTTTCCGAAGTCAGTTGAACATGTATAAAAACGCCTAGCAATAAAATTTAATGTTTGATCTGCGTCCCTAAAAAAAGTTTTCTGCTAAAGGTGAAAAATAATAATAATTTATATGTAATGTGTAGAAAATTTCTATTATATGTTCATTTGGCCAACAACATATTTTAATTATTTATGCCCTGAAACAATTTTATTATATTGATGGTAAATTTTGGTTGTGACGTATCAAAAAACATTTACATTTTCATTAAAATATATTACTGCTCGGCATTGCTGCACTGCACTGCTATGCAATTTGTCAACAACTGAAATTTATGGCCGGTCGCCCTGTGCGGCTGCGTTTGTGCGCCGTTTGTCCGCGCATTCTTCAACTGGGCGTGTACATTTCTGCCACCTACACGTTTAGTTTGACCAGACCTGCATATGGGTATGGCTAAATAAATATGGGAACAAGTTTTTCAAATGTTTCAATGCCGAGTTGCTGCGTAGCGACCGAACCTGGTACATACTGCCCAGCTCTTTAGTTTTCAATTGAAATCGGAAAGACCGTAAAATTTATTTTAGTAAAAAAAGCAGTATACATTTTTGTGGACTTGTTGTTTGACAGATTTTTAATACAAAAATGGAAAACAAGGCATTTTTTTCGTGTGACGTAGCAATATTAAAATATTCGAGTATTAAGGATATACTTGTGCATTGAATTTTGTCAAATTTCTGGGAACCTCTCTCTTCTTTCTCTATTTCTCTCCCCGCCCCTCTCTATTTATCTCTCCCCCCTCTCTTTCTTATAGTGCCTGATTTTTCAAAACTCCTTCCTTTTCTGGCACCATATTTTGATTTTTTGCCACCCGCATATTTTAACGACCTTTCTAATTTTCTGCTCGCAGTATTTCGAGCGAAAGCCGGCCCTGCCCCTAGCCTCTGATTAAAACTACGGCTCCTGCAACGCCGGTTTCCGCTTCGATTCCTGCAGGCGATTTCCCGGTTTGCTTATTTGTGAATGGTTTGTTGTGGTTTTATTAGCGCTTTATATCATTCTCAAGAAAAAAATCGTTTAGTTACCGCATGTGTTCGACGCGATTAGCTGTATTAGATTTTGATGTTTCTTTTTTGCTGCTAATATATCCAGCATCTGCCGGGGCAAATTAAAACTCGATTTGGCGCATTTTAAAAAGTAATAATTAGATGCACTGGCAACTTTTACATTGCAGCCGTTTTATTCTTCCGGCTTTTTCTTGATGCATGGAAAATATGTCTGGGTTTTTATATTTGTATTTAAATTTTAAAGATCCCCCACTTCATTTTTTGCCGTTTTGACATGATTTCGCAGGAATTCAACGCGATTTCTTTCGCACAAGAGTGAAATTTATAAGGTTCTTCTCAGCGACAAAAAGAGAAATCACGTATGCGTAGACGGATCCTAGTTTAATCGCGATCTTATTCAATTTGTACCGTTAAGTATGCGTAAGCAACGCTATAGTATACACGGTGTTCCATGTTAAATAACGCATTGCAATATCTTCTTATTGAAAGAAATACCTTTTTGACAAAAATTGTAGACTTCTGATGGGAACATTCGATGGTCACCTTGACCTTTGCACAAAGGTCAACCGTAAAGGTAATTTGATGGTCAACTTGGATTTTTAGATATAATAAATATGTATATTTCTAATACTGGATCAAAGTAACCCTAAAGGGTTATTTAGGGTCACATAAGGTTCGGAATAAGATTTTGCGATAATTTTCGGGACAACAAGAGTTTGATGGGATCATACGATGATGACCATAAAACTTTCAACCAGAATCCTTCTTCGTAAGTGCTTCCCGAAAATTAAAACGATTTTGCAAAATTTCGAATTTTTCCGGATATCTCCGAAACTACCCGGAATTTTAAAACTTTCTAAACGGCATGGTGTTAGGTATAAAAAAACTTTTTCCTAATTTGAGCCACCTGTTATCGTTTCCTATATCGTTTTCATTTAAATAAGATCCACTTCTTATTTGTGGAAGGGCGAAATGGGCGTTGACTATTAGACGCCTTCATTATAGCCATCCTTGTCTATCACATGGATTTCTATGGCTTACTTTATCGCTCTCACGTAACTTCTGATAGACCATCGGTACTTTCCTACACTGTATTATACGGCAACCAAGCTCATTTTTCTTGATTATTAATTAAAAAAAAGTTAGAATAGGTCATGTTAAGTTTTTTTGTTACGTAAAACGTACGAAAAACCCTAAATCGTGAAAATCTTATTAGTTCAGACGGTATCTGTTTCAAAAAGTCCATATTTGGGTGAATCATATATCCACGGAGATTTTTGGTTTTCGGCTTTCAAATATCAATAGAAATGAAAATTTTTCTATGCGCATAAAAAACGTGGGCTTAACTTAAAATTTGTATTAAGTCATTATTTGAGGTTATAAACAGATTTGATAAATAATGATACTTCTCTCTTGGGTATTTTCGTGTTTTTTAATGTCTCATTTTTTCGAGGAGCAGAACTTTTTATAAAGAGTGACATTTTTCGATACAGT